AAACAGACATCAAAACTACGAATGCAATGATTTTTGTTCAATGTTTTACATACTGCACTGCCCATAATCCAATTAATCATGACTAATGTTGCACTCTAATAAAACATACAGTTGGTCAGCGTTCTTTAAGTACTGATGATATTCACAATATGCTCAGAGAAGCACAGCGTTTATCACAATAACAAAATTTATCATGACAGAGTGTCATATCGTACCACCTCTATTCCAGAAAGGTACAAACTCCCCTTTAATCACTATCATTTCTGAATTATCAACCCTGTATATTCTCAGCTGTTAGCAGCATTTTTATGTTCTTCAGAAAATCACTTATTATGCCCTTCGGGGAATATTTTGGACACCTTTTCACACTTGGGGTTCATGCTAGACATGTCACGATACCACTTTTTCTTTTCTGTTACCGTTATTATACTGTTATTATACTGTTATTACTGACATTGAAACCTTGAGTATGGTCCAATACCAAGATGACATTTCTTCTTTAAAAATTACTAAGCATTAAAATAAGCTAATTTAATTGAAGCATTTTCACTGAAGAAGATCATCTACAAGCAGGCTGTCAGGTTCAATCTAATTAAACACTGTACTACCCCACAGAAATAAATACACAATTAATAAAATCATCTGAGACAATGTAAAAGTGACAGGTGTTTTCTGCTGATATTGAACCGAAACTGATAACCACTGATACCGATGAGATCTCTAGTTCATGCCTCAGTCAAGGGTGCAATAACAACACTTTTTTGTAGTATGTAAATACTGTAAGGTTTAAACATACCATCCACTCCACAGTCCAAATATATACTTATTCACATCTAATTTTTTGTTGTATGGTGTTTTTAGAATAAGCACAATACAAGGCAGCCAATCAAAACAGTGGACATTAACATAAATCTGTCTTGAAGGCACCATATCCTACATTTTTCTTGTATTTGACTTTTTCCTATAACAATCGTGTGGTTTATGTACCAAAACTGCCATAACTAATTTTTTCATGACTATTTTCCAACCTCTCTTTACCCATTAGAAATAAACAAGTTACTGTGCCTTTAAGACTGATACAGGTAAATAAGTTCTGTTCTGATTGGCTGCCCTGTACTGTGCATCATTTCCAAAGGCATTCAGAGCCAAAACACTCCCTAGGACTTCAGCATGAATGGGTGGGGCTAAACTGCTAGACATGATCTCATAACAAGAACGTCTGGGGGCAACCATGAGAACTTTTGGGTTAAATATGGGTAGGAATGTAGATTTACTATTTAGGGAACAAACTGAGCGAGAAATCTCTAAACCAGTCCAATGCCTCACGAAGGGGGAGCTCAAAATAGGGGGAGATGGTGCGCTGGTCAAAACTGTCCAATGAACAAGTGTGTTGTTAGCCCATGGATATAATGCAAGTTATCATTGCTGTTAAGTTCCCCTGAGCATGTAGATTACATATAAGAAGAACACTTCACATGCAGTACAAATAAACGCATCTTGCATGATAGCTTGTTTGGCTTGTGCCGTCATTGTATTCCAGACATTAAACCAGCATGGACCAGAGGAATCTGGGAGTGGGTTTTAGAGGGGGAATTCTCTTGTTAGTGGTGGATTTCTCCACAATCCAGCACCAGAAGTTTAACGGGCTGGCCCCACATGTGTATTCTCACTGCAAGATCATGTCCGGCCTCACAATGCTAAACTGCTATAGGTTGAATATAAGTAAATGAGCCGGTTCTCATGACATCACAGAAACAAAACAGTCAAAATGTACTGTTGGACTGGGTAATGAAAAGTACACGCTGAACCTTTAACAATGTTTACATATTACTTTAAACGTCATCATTTACAAATAGTAAGGGAAAGTTGATTTCCCATGAAATGGGCCCTTTCATACAACAGTCAGTTCCGGCCAAGCCAGCTGATTGGTTGAGAAGCGTTCTAACTGTGCTGTTATTTCGCCATAACATCACGGTTTATTCACAAACACTGCATCACTCCGCTGAGATGCCATTACTAAGCAACAAGTTTGACAGCTGTAGGAGACGCTCAAGTGTTTTTACTTCTTACTTTCTTACACAAACAGAAAATGGACACTGACCAATTTGGTCAGACTCTGAAGATGAGACGACACTAAATTCCCAAACTGTCATCACCACTGAGCAGCTTTTCAGTCGGCAGCTGCGACAGAAGAACCGCTAAACAACCTAGAAACAGCCAGAAATGAACCCAACGGGCTGTAAGATGCTTTACAGACTGGCTGGAACAAAACAACATTAATACAGATCTGGCAAAAACTGACAAAACTGAGCTGAACCTGATATTGCAGCAGTTTTATGGCTTTATTTTATTAACTGTTGTATAAAAGAAATAGAACACTCGAGGTTGTGTGTTATTGTGAATAACATCACTGCTGTGATGATCTACGGCACTCGCCTTCAATAACACACTCCCTCTTGTGTTCTATTGCTTAATAAAAGCATAGTAACAAAAACAGCCTGACTAATCGTAAAGAATGAAGAGAGGTTGGAAACAGGACATGTAAAAATGAATTACAACCATTTTTGGTTCAAGTTAAAAGAGCAATGTAAGATCTGCCCCTTAAAAAGCAATTTCACAGCATCAATGCTTCATGACTAAAAAACGTACAAGTTAAACAAATAAATGAATCTGAGTAAAAGTACACTAAACAGTCAGCGGTCGACGCCACAGCCCTGCTGATAAAGACTGGCAGGAGATCAATTCCACAGCTCTTCTGCCAATCACAAGCGGATTTACCCCTCTTTCAGTCACAAAGCCCGACCAGGCCTTGCCTGCTTTCAATACACTGACAGAGTGTGTAATCAACTTAAACTGTCTAATTGCCAGTCCCCTTTTTAAATGCCTCATTGTTGCAGGTGGGGATAAGCGTGAGAGCTGATGTGTCTGGTGGCGCAAAATCAGTTTGCTGTATTGGCATGTTGACCCTTCCTCACCTCCCTTTCTCTCTGGGTAAACGCAGCTAATCTATTTAATCGCTGAGGGGGAACCAGGCCTCGACTGAGCCGTCTCTTCTCTTCTCCCACAGACACTCCAATAATCCCCCTGCCTGCAAATCTCCCCCAGCTCACCTGCCAATCAGCTACCGGCCTGCACGGCTGCTCCTTTTAAGTAGCTTTGCCTGTCTTAACTAAAGCCTAGGGATGAAAAGCAATAGATATGGGGGGATAAAGACTTGTGCTGATCTAAAAGGGATTTTCCTGACAACTTTCTTTTCCTTAAATGATGAGCAGATCAGTGGCGGCAGGTTTCAATGATGAAGCCTAAGTCATGAAAGAGACCACGAGGTGGGGGCTTCAGAGGGACTCGCTCCATGTTTGGAACAACATGCACCCAAGCTTTGGATGTCTGCCTCTGCCACCTTAAATGTGTTACGCACGTCATTACATACACTATTAGTGCATTATGAGAGGAAATTGCTTAAGATAAACTATCAAAGTTCCTGACCTTCAACAAAGAGTCTGTTTCCTCGTGATAAAGACGATGGGTCATGCGCCAAGAACTTCTTCCCTGATTCCCTTCAAACTTAGATACGCTGTTTGAGAGACGCCATTAAAGAAGTCCTTGAGCTTGATTACAGCTTAAAAATGGAGGAAGAAACTTAATGGTCAGCTGAAAATCAGTTCAAGGAAAACATGTCTGAGTAAGGGTTTGGCAGCTGCCTCATCATGGCCAGAGACTCAGAGCTGCCTTATGAAACAAAAGGCTGTTGAGATCTTGCTGCCAACAAAACCAAAAACAGACAGAAAACAAGCACATTTTATATGTTCTAATCAACAAGGCAGGAAACATTGTTATTAAAGTTCAGAGGAACCTTATTACCCAGTTCTAACAGGACAACCACACTGATGTCAAAAAATTAAACCAATGATGTAATAATTCAGTGTTGAACCAACACAATCTATATTTCTACATTATCTTCCAGTCTGGCACTGGTTGGAGCAAAATGGAAGAATACATAACATCCATTATGGGAGCTCGTCTTACTGGACTCGTATTAGTACTACTTATAGTTAAAGGGGACTTCCACCATTTTTCAAAATTTCTGCATAACCCAGTGGTTGAGATGTAAACAAAGTCACTCAGAGTGGTTTGATGTGAAATGTGCTGCTCTAGAGAAACATATTTAAATTTGTTTACAGTGGTGGTGATAGTAACCAGGGGTCATGACTGTAAATATAGACATTTTATTTACTATCCAAACCCACCACTGAACCCACATGTGTCCTCTGAGTTTTCAATATGCAAACGCTGATAATGAGAAAACAGTGGGAAATCCAACAAATAACGGGACTATTTTTGGGGACTATTTTGCCTTACAACATCCTGCATGTACCCCTCCGCCATGAATGGATTTTTAAAAATCGTATTTGTGACCAAATCCTTATAGCAAAACTACAGTAAAGCAGTGTGTCTCAGGCATCACACAGCATATTCGTAACCATTTCATGTTAATCACTTTCTGTGACGTAGCTTTCAGCTTTTAGTTGCGCTCAATGCATCGGAAGTCTGGTTCCTATCACGACCATTCTAAGAAATTCCGACTCTGTAGTTTCTTCAGAATGATGCATTTCACGCCAAAACGATCTGAATGACTTCATTTACTTCTTAATGATTGAATTTTGTACAAATTTTGAAAAAGTGGTGGAGGTCCCCTTTAAACTGAAGCATTTCCATTGTAAATGCTGGAACACCGAAGGTGAGGATCACGTTGCTGCAATTCCCGACCGATTTAACTGAAGCTAAACACTTCCCTTTTATCAACGGCCAAAACACGAGAAATAAAAACTAATTTCGTCGTAAACCGACCAGTTTCAAGTAGTTATAAAAGCCCCCAAAACATCAAAGCATTGTGTGCCGTTAAGGATCAAACACACGCAGTCAGTCCCAACAAACTTCGGCTCCCACAGCGTCTGCTGACCTCAGTACTGTGTCTGTGGAGAAGCGTGCAGCCCGCTTACCGTCCGCTCTTCACTCCGGTGTCTTCAGTAAAGTTGACGCTTTCAGGCTCGAGAACGAGGCTATCCAACAAGGGAAAAGGTGGTTAAAACTGACCCGTCGTCTGACCGCCCGGTCCCGCTGGCTCATCCCCCTGAGCTGGGCTAACCTCTCTGTAACCACCGAGCGGAGTTGTGCTCGCCTGCGCTCGTGCAGCCACTACCCAGGGGCGGGGACGCGCGCGCCGTGCACGCCCCCACTTAGCAACGCAGCTAAAGACTTCTCCACAAAGTTCAAGAAATATCAAGTTCGACTCGGTTTACCGAACCGATTCGTCCGGACCGCCCGTTTCAATGATTCGAACGTCCGATTCAACGGTTCCCAAAGTTAACAGTGTGATGGAGTCTGATGTGCGTTAATTTTGCTGACTAATGAAGTCAGACTCATCTCTCTAAGCGCAGGGTTGGCATGGACAGAACACACAAAACAGAAAGAGGGAGACAGTTACACATAAAAATACAAATTTAATTTAATAACATAAATGTTAGGTATGTGCTGCAGAAAACATTCGATTCAGTTCGGGTGTTGAATCGGTTCAAATCGGTTTATTGAAAAAAAAAAAACATTTCAAAACAATGAGTGCGCTTTAATGCAACTGCAGAAAATCAGATTTTGTCAGTAATCCAATCAACGCATTTATATGCACTTGAGTAATCAGATAATAGGGAAACTCCAAGTTAGTCAATAATCAGACTTCTGCTTTGCAACCAGCCAATAAACTCACAAAAGAAGACGTGACGTAAAACCTACAGTAAAACTACAACTTTTTTTTTTTCAAAAAATGGCTTTTTTCGCTTATTTCCGGCACCGCTGTCTGATTCACACATGCGCAGACTAAGAAATCCGAAAGAAATCAGAGTAAGAGTTTACATGCACTGAGAAATCTGACTACCGAGCTAAAATCCCGCTCTCTTTACCTAAATTCTTGAACTGATTTCTAGACCTTACTCCGATCTAAGAAATCAGATAACAGCAGAAATCTGATTATGATCAGATTATCGAGTGCATGTAAATGCGCTCACTGATTGTTTCAGCCGTCGAGAGATCTCAGTCGTTTGTTTACTGTTCAGGATTTTTCACTGGTGTGTTGGCTAGAGCGGTTCAATTCCAGAAAATCTGATTCTGATTGCAAGGGATGGGAATCTATGATGAAAATTCCAAGAGTCGATTCCACATTTTCTCAATTCTAAAAATCAAGACGTAAACCTTTTTCACACATGCACTTTACCTGGGAATTTAACGGTTCTAAATGGGATTGAGGGGTTAAGTTTGAACACAACTCAGAATTGAAAGGTAAGATTGATACAGTTACCTATTAGCACCTATTAAAATTCCTGCAGAATTACCGGACGGCTCACGTGAAAAGGAGCTGATACGTTATAGGGAAAACAATGACGTCTTGATTACAACCAGCAAAATGTTTCTGCACTGCTTTTGTTTTTACGGTTGAGCTTTCAGGTTTCATAGATTACAGGACTATATTTTGTACACAATTCCTATTGAGAAAAAGGACAAAATCTGCCTTTTGAGTATGTCTGGCTGCTACTGCACAAATCGACCAAAAACAACCTGAGCACGAAGCAGAGTGTTTCACTGAGGTTTTTATTTTTACCATAGATATTAAAACATTTTACTTTTCCAGCACTTTTTGTTAAAAACATACATTCAACTTTGTTTTCCTCTTGGTCCAAAATAAAAAACAGCCAGTCTTGTTGTGGAGGGATGTTTTTCATACAGGCTTTCTGGAGACTGACAGAATATCTTAAACGTTTCATTGTAAAATTGAGTCCAAAGCTTTGGTGTCAACTCTCAATTTTCACATGCCTGGAAGAATAGACTCTTATTGGGATCGACTCCAAGCCCTAGAGTAAACCTTGTGGAAAAAAATCTTCTATTTTGTGAATTAGATACCGATTTGTGGCCCTCATTGAAAATGTAACAGTTTAAAAGAGAGTTTAAAGTCAACCATGAACCATTTAGCACAATTTGGAACCATGTGCAGGTTGTATAGATCGACATAGCAACATTATGCTCCAAGTAAGCATCACTAGTGTTAGTAAAAGGCATCTTTGCATGAAGACTGTACTGCATACAGAGCGTGCAGATATTTCTCAGAGGAAAACAGTCTCTTGCCATTTGCCGTTGATCCATCTTGGAAGCAATTAATCCTGTACAGATGGTGTTCAGATGAGACACCATTGAGTTTTGCTCATGTATATCATATGGAGTGATCATAAACGCAGTTTAGGAGCTCAAGCTATTCCACAGTACATGTGTTCATGGTGAAATAAAAGCATACCAAGCTGTCAACAGATGACTTTTATAGCATTGTCTAAATTTTTGGTGGAAATGTTTCAAAGAGGAATTCCACCAGTTTTTCAAGATTTCTACATAATTTAATGGATGAGATGAAAAGTCATTCACAGTCGTTTGAAGAGAAATTGTGCATTGCAGAGAAACCTGTCAACTCAGATTTCTTTACAGTGGTGGTGATAGGAACCTGGCGTCACAATGTCCACAAAGCAAATATAGGCATTTTATTTACTATCTAAAACTGTCAGTGAACATACAAACCACCATAGCACTGTATCTGAGAAAAATTAGTAAGGTTCTCTAGAATGGAGTGTTTCACATCAGAGCACACTGAATGACTTTGTTTATATATGAATAATTTAATTATGCAAATTTTTTGAGAGATCAGTGAGATTCCCCTTTAAAGTCCATCAGACGGAATTTGGTCTATTGTGCATTTGGAACACTCTGATTTCGGAGCTTTGAACTAGACCATTCTGCAGATTCAGAGAAGAAGAGAAGGAAGCGTGGCACATCTGCAGATATTAACTGTAAGTCATCATGAAGTAAATTGATAGATTTCCAGTCGGTTCATTATGACATTAGTCCACTGTCTGTAGGGAGCTAAGAACTGCAGTGTGTGTGTGTGTGTGTGTGTGTGTGTGTGTGTGTGTGTGTAGGTGCACGTGCTCACACCAGCCTTCCTTCAGGCTTTGACCAGCAGACTCTGTATTGACTGTGACATTCAGTGAGTGCTCAGCGCTGCCTGCAGGTACTCTAATTGACTGATCTGGGTTCTAGGAGGGTCCTGGGAGAGCTCCATGAATAATGCCTCCAGGCAAGGTGACCCAATCTGGATCATTACACGCTCGGCTTGAGGCCTGAGGCTGATATTTATAGACAAGGCTACAGGTACAGTGCGCTGTTGCTCACTTAACTTTCCCTCTTTGCTGTCATAGGGCAATTTCAGCCTCAGACCTGCATTGCATTCTGAGAGCAGAGGTGGTCACAATTTTTAAAGAATGTTGTAGTCAAAATAACAAGCCTGAGGGTCAAAGCTTGTATATTTTTTGATTTTGCGTCTCCTGCAATTACTCACTCCTAGTTAACCGAGATGTCCGGTTTTGACCCAGTTGCTACAAAAAAGGTCAATTAAGCTGTCCCAAAGCAAAGTGGATTCAATGTTTCTGCAGGTCTCTCGATATCACTCTAAATTCTAGCCACAAGGATCAATCCCTCAAAGAGCTCAGGTCATTTCTACAGTTGCACTCCTGTTCCTTCTCCCTTACCACTAATGGATAAACCAAGCCTCGTAGTTCCTCACAGATTGCTCTCTAGATTAGTAAGCCAGAGATCAGTTCCCCAAGGGAATACTCACGACATCTGGAATCAAGAGTAGGCAGCAAGCCCTGTTTCCACCCACGTCTCCCTTTCACCTCCTTCCTGACACGGGGACAGTGAAGGTAAATGCTCACGTCCATCACTCTTCCTTTATGCACTGGAAAATTGTGCTCATGCCAAGGACGTGGAGCTCAACGTGAGGTGAACCGAACCGTGGTGCTTGTTTGAAGACAACTTTCATGTCCCCTGTATGTGTGTGGATGTAATTTTTTCCCTTATTTGACAGCAATCGAGCAGTTCTTAGTTTTTTTTTCTAGCATTTTGCAAACCTAACTCAGCTTGAGATGCTAACTCTATTAGCACTGCTCAATGACTCATAATGTAATTGTAATTATCTTATTTTTCCCCATTGGGAGCACTGAGAACACAGTGAATCACTCCCAAATAGCAGCTGTCACACAGAGCCATTGGAGGTTCGGCTTGCTCAGCTGTCAGTTGAACACAGCAATCTACCTTTCTGTTATTATCGCTTTTGCCGCTCTCCCCAGTGATCCCTGTAGGCAATCATGAAGCCATCAGGCTCTCCTCACTGTTAATGCTGTCCGTTCAGGTGAAGTAAACATCTGTACCTAAAAATGAAGCCATGCCTGCATTCGGGATGTGTACTGTAAGGAGGTGCCATGGGCAACGCTGCTCGTTTGGCTGGAGAGTTTTATTTAGCAATTATGGTTTCCAGTAAGGTGTCATAGCTTAAGATCTCTAACTCTGGAGAGAGCTTCATTAACTCTGTACGCTATATGGCCAAAAGTATGTGGACACCTGACTATCGCACATATATGAGCATGTTGGACATCCAATTAAAAACCCCATTTAAAAACCAGGCGCATTATTATGGAGTTGCCTCCGCACCTCCCTTGTGAATTTGTGCCTTTTCAGTCAAAAGAGCGCTTGTAAGGTCAGGCTCTGATGTGAATGAGAAGGTCTGACTTGCAGTCGATGTTTCAATGCATCCCAAAGGTGTTCAGTTGGGTTTGAAGTCAGGGTTCTGTGCAGGCCACTGGAGTTCCTCCATACCAAACTTGAATTTCTTTATTGACTTTGCTTTGTGCACAGGAGCTCAGTCATGCTGGAACAAGAACGGTCCTTTCCCAGGCAGTTGCCACAAAGTTGGAAGTGTATAATTGTCTAAAATGTCTTTGTGTGCTGTAGCATTAACATTATCTTTCACTGGAACTAATGGGCCCAAACCCTGAAAAACAGCCCCAGACCATTATCCCTCCGCCACCAAACTTTACCACTGGCACTATGCATTCTGGTAGGTAACATTCTCCTGGCATCTGCCAAACCAAGATTTCCAGATCAGACTGCCAAATAGTGAAGCATGAATCATCACTCCAGAGAACACGTTTCCACTGCTCCAGAGACTAGTGACTCCAGACGACGCAAATTTTTTAGCAATGACTGTGACTGAAACACTTGAAGTCAACAATTTGGAAGGGTGTCCACA